AATCTTTAATATCTATCTATTATCATTTTTTACAAACAAAAATTACAAATTCCCAGTAAAAGTTCACTCCGATAACCCCGATAACTTATTCAAAAAAAATAAAAAAAATAGCAAAATGATCAAAGCCAAGAAAACGAAGTATGATGTCGTAATTCAGTCACCGGTTTTTCTGGTCAGCACATTCTAGGCAGATGTCTATTCTGCTGAGGCGAAAGCTTCACCATTCTTGACATCTGACCCTTCATTTCTCGGCACACTTTCTCCAATTCCACAACCCTCCACTGCATTCTCTCGAGGTTCGTTTTCATTTCTTCTTCCTCTTCTTCGCCCTCCTCCGATTTACTTCTACCATCATCGCTCTCGTTATTCTTGTACATAACCAACTGATAATCGTCGATTTTGTGACAACTAGTGCTGCCGGCTATTGAACCGTCGTTGTCACTCGCGAATTCGTCCGTTTTTAAGGTGGCTGCAGAGGGGTGCTGAGAAGCCAGTGCTTGAACCGCGATTCTAGGAGGTATCCGAGGGTTCATCGCTAGGTCTTTGCATGCTTCTAGGCTTAGCTTTTTGTAGTTCAAGCATCGACATAGCTTTGATCGCCCCTCCAACGAAACAGATGGATGCGACTGCAATTTGAAGAAGGGTTTATAAGTTTCAAGTTCAATCAGAAATTAAAGTAGATAAATCTCTTCTTTTTTTTTTTTTTTTTTCCATCAAAAATCAAGAAACTATACATACAGATGTAGAACATGTGCTAATTTTTGGCGGGAAGTATGCTAAACAAAATCCCGTGACTATTTTTTTTTTAAATTTTATTATTATGTTTGAGTTGCAAATAATGCAGACAAAAACTGTAACAAGTAGCAAGAATGTTATTTTATTGTTTTGGATAAATTACAGTCGCCGTCTGAGGTAAGGTTAAATTACAAAAAACTCCCTCTTATTTGGGTAGTTACTGTTAGAGTAGGTGACCAACAAGCCAACTTGTGGCTGTGGTCTTTCGTATTTATTATTGTAATAAACGAACCTTTATTCGTATTAATGATAAAACACATTGGCATT